CACCAAAGGAGCCACCAAAAGAACCACCTCCACCTCCACCTGCACCAAAGGAGCCACCAAAGGAGCCACCAAAAGAACCACCTCCACCTCCACCTCCACCTCCACCTGCACCAAAGGAGTCACCAAAGGAGCCACCAAAAGAACCACCACCTCCTCCACCTGCACCAAAGGAGCCACCAAAAGAGCCACCAAAAGAACCACCACCACCACCACCAAAAGAGCCACCAAAAGAACCACCTCCACCTCCACCTTCACCTGAACCAAAAGAGCCACCACCTCCACCTCCACCTTCACCTGAACCAAAAGAGCCACCACCAACACCACCACCACCACCTCCACCTGAACCAAAAGAGCCACCAAAAGAACCACCAAAAGAACCACCTCCACCTCCACCTCCACCTGCACCAAAGGAGCCACCAAAGGAGCCACCAAAAGAACCACCTCCGCCAAAATCACCAGATGCGCCAAAAGATCAACCTCAACCGAAAGCACCTGATGGAAAAGCACCTGCTGATGGAAAAGGACCAGGAGATGGAGGATCACCAGGAGGACCAGGAGATGGAGGACCACCAGGAGGACCAGGAGATGGAGGATCACCAGGAGGACCAGGAGATGGAGGATCACCAGGAGGACCACCAGGAGATGGAGGAGGACCACCAGGAGGACCACCAGGACCACCAGCACCTTCTCCGCCAAAAGCCCCTCCACCTAAAACACCACCTCCACCTCCACCAAAAGAAGCGCCAAAAGCAGGACCTCCACCTTCACCTAAAGCACCAGCAGCACCACCAAAAGAACCACCTAAAACACCAGCACCAGCACCAGCACCACAACCTCCAACACTACCACCAGATAATGTGCCACATCCACAACCTGATGTAGGAAAATTTGTTGTTAATAAATCAAATTCAACGGATCATTGTAAGGATGGTTCTACGCGGAAAAGGGATGAGATTCCTGATGGTGATTGCGGAGCTTGGTTTTTTAAGCTCTAGACAATGTACAGCAAATATTTATTTATTATTTCCATATTTAAAATTAAAATATTTGACAATAAACATTCCTACCAAGTTTTATAATCCTTCGTGTGAGTTGTTTATTAGTTTTTATAATTATTCTCGCATAATTTTTTTTAAAAAAAAAAGATTAATTTTTTATTCATTCGTAAATTTATATTTACTGTATCTTGGAACAAAAATTAAATTATTTTTTTTTTTATTTATTTGTATATTATGTATATTATGTAATATTTTGTAATAAAACTTAAAATCATGAAATTGTAAAACCGAACAGAAATTTTTTAAAATTATTAGTTTGTGTTCTAAAGAGGTGACTTTTTAGTATGAGCATGTAATATTTCAAATATACTGTAAATGTAACTAATTTAGTCATTTCTACAAATGATAAAAACTTTTAATAATACAAGAACTACCGAGAATCGAATATTATCAAAATCGAACCAAACATTAAAAATATTTTTTGCATCGTGTCAGCTGATCATCACGATGTCAGGAGTCCCAAGATCATTGTGCAACCCAATTATATTTATTAAATTGTAATACTAGATACAGTATTATACAAATATAATAATATTATACAAATATAAACATTATTTTTTTAAAATATTTTTATTTATAATAATAAATATTTACATATATCAAAAACAATATCTACAATAATTTTATAATTTTAATATAATTCAAGCTTCAATGGCTTCTTTATCATCATCATCATCATAATCATCATCATTGCCACTACTTCGTTTTTGGCATTCTATGATTATATTATATAATTTTCCGATGATATTTAAAACGATCATTGCGCTACTTGTTACAAGAGTTAAAAATGGAATAACATTATAAGATATAACATGTGTTATATAATAAACCTGTATATATATAAAAAATTTTAAATTAATTATGAAATTTAATAATAATAATTATAATAACAGCAATAATTATAAGTTACCTGAATACCAAATTGAGGAATATCTTTAACAACAAAATTAACTATACTAGACCAAAATATTATTGAGATTGTATTATCCATAAAATTTGCTGAAAACATTTTGAATCCGCCTATTTTTGAGGATAAGATATTTAAAACTTCAACATTCGTTGCTGAAAAAAGTGTAAATATTGATGCGACAATTGAATTTTTTTTAAGCCATTCTTTAAAATTATCGTGCTTAAAGTTTTCGGATATTATTAACGACATTGCCAATATTAAATTAAAGATTGATGCAAATGCAAAAATCACTAAACTATTATTTTAAAGACAAATATATCAGTATTAATTAATTTCTTTAATATACAATTATTAATTTACGAACCTTGGAATGAAAAGTATTTTAATGTCATATCCATTTTTGTATATGAATAACCCATCCAAGACAAAATCCATAAGAGATAATCCGACTTTCAATATAATCATATTTGATCTCTAGTATAATTAATAATAAATATTAGTATCTAATTTAAACAAAACACGGATACAAATTACCTCTTCATCCTCATTTTCCTCATTTTCCTCGTTATCCTCACTTTCTCCTTTTCTTTTAGCCCATAAAAATACAATAATTATGATAAAAAAAACAACTATAGCGGCTAATATCGTTTCTTTATTATCTCGTATAATATCTTTAATACCGGCTAAAAAGTAATAATATTATGGTTAACAATAAATTCAAATTTAATGATAATTATAACGATAAATTTACCATTTAGTTTATATCCATAAGATTGATCTAATAGTGAAGCATACTGATAATTAGAAATTTCAGTATATTGTTTATTTAGAATCATATGATTTAAATCGTGATATAAATTATTAGTATTTCTCTGAGATAAATTCCTTGTGGGTTCGATTTGTAAAGGAATAATTAATTGTTCAAATTTGGTCGAACTATCCACTTGTTGATGATCTTTGATCTTTAATCTATCACGATCAACAGGAAGAATTAATGAAATTTCTTGTAGTAGTTGATCAACAAATTCTTTTTTATTTTGATAAAAAAGTTTTGTTCCTTCAGGTATTAATCTAATTGATCCAGTAAAAGATTCTAAAATAAATTTAATTAAAA